ATATACCTTTATCATAGAGTTAAGTGCACCGTTTACCCCGTACTCTTTAAAAATCGCATGTTTTACCCCTGAACTTTAAAAAGTGCACCGATTACTCTCGAACTCTTCAAAAATTACACAATTTACCCCTGCATACTAAAAAATGCACCAAATACCATTGAACAAATTAAAACGTTGCATCGTTGGTCCTAAACTATTAGATAGGGAGTGTGTTGGTTCCTCGCACAAGAATTGCGAATATGATTCATCTGACCTTTGTGAATTTTCCAAAGTACCTTTACCCAAAATTGTCGTCTTTGTTTAAATGTTCAGGAGTAAAAAATATAATTTTTGAAGAGTTTAGGGGTATTTGGTGCAATTTTTATTGTTCAGGGTTAAATCGTGCAATTTCTGAAGAATTCAGGAGTATTTGGTGCACTTTTTAATGTTCGGGGGTAAACCATGCAATTTTTAGAGAATTCAGGGGTAAATGGTGCACTTAACTCCTTTATCATATCAGGGTAAAATGATATTACTTTTCAAATTTGAACAAATTGGTGTATGCATTTGCATAGGGTTAGTTTGGTATGTGAACCTGTAGAGATATATTGGTTTTTGAACATGGTTAAGTTAGTTTGGAAAGTTATTAGTACTTTTTATGGAAAGAAGAGTCTATTTACTGTTATTCAACATACTTAGGGGATTTCAGTATTTCACAAACCATAAGGTTGCCCTTGATATTTGAGCTACACCAGACATGCTAAAATTGATGCAATGAAATTCATTTCTGTTGAAAGGACATGCTAACAGTTGCAAAAATCTAGTCAAATTCTTCTTCCCAAGTCAATTCAAGCCTATCTTATGGGTAAGATGGATTCATAGTAGATATCTAAAAGGAGTAGACTTTTGGGACTTTACTCCAAGGATGGATTCTTGCCATTATTGGAAAGAAATGATCAAAGTGAGAGAAGCCTTTTGAGACATGCCAAGACTGAATCCTTACAGAGTTAAGGATGGCTATGAATGGCTACAAGGAGAAGGGAGAATCCCTAGGTGGAAAGGCTACGCTTGGAATAAACTTACACCACCTAAGTTTCAATTTGTGACTTGGCTGCTGTTAAGAGGGAGGAGATACAAACAAAAGTAAGGTTGCGCAAATACCTTAATATTAATACAGATTGTGTACTATGTGGTCAAGAAGAAGAGACTGATAAACATCTATTTTGGGATTGCTCGTCTACGCAAAGTATCATCACTGCCTGTTTCAATAGATTCAACTTTGGTGTTCACTTGGCCAAGTTTGAGGACCTGGTGGCCATGGTGCAGGAGACCAAAATGAAGAAAACACGAATGCAGATTGTAGCCATATGGGCTTGATGTGTTTACAGTATATGGAGAATTAGGAACAAACTTGTACACCTTAAAAGCCGTACACTAGAGGAGGCTATATAATTTGTTTGTTTTTATATTCATAGCTATATTAGATACAGGAAGATGATGTAATGGGGTTTGGATAACTTCCTGTATTTAGTTTTGGTGGTGTTAATGAAGTTGTGTTTTTCTGTGCAAAAAAGGTCAATTCAAGCACCCTCCACATAATTTCCCTCCTTAAATGGCAATCCAATCCACTTACTTCCCAAGAAGAAGAGACTGAACATCTATTTTGGGATTGCTCGTTTGCGCAAAGTATCATCACTGCCTGTTTCAATAGCTTCAACTTTGGTGTTCACTTGGCCAAGTTTGAGGACCTGGTGGCCATGGTGCAGGAGACCAAAATGAAGAAAACACGAATGCAGATTGTAGCCATATGGGCTGGATGTGTTTACAGTATATGGAGAATGAGGAACAAACTTTTACACCATAAAAGCTGTACACTAGAGGAGGCTACATAATTTGTTTGTTTTTATACTCATAGCTATATTACATACAGGAAGATGATGTAATGGGGTTTGGATAACTTCTTGTATTTGGTTTTGGTGGTGTTAATGAAGTTTTGTTTTTATGTGCAAAAAAAAGTCAATTCAAGCACCCTCCACATAATTTCCCTCCTTAAATGGCAATTCAATCCACCTACTTCCCAAGTCTTCACAGTTTCGACACACCTCAACAGAGAAAGAGTGAGACTAAAAGTTTCTCAATTTTTTAGAGGGAAAAAGTGAGAGAAAGGCCAAAGCAAAGATTTTTCATTGATGAGAGTGAGTGATTAGGAAATGTTTTCCTAAAAGAAGGTGAGTGAAAAAGTGTGTGCCTACTATTTGTAATAGTAGAAGAGATTGAACACTTGTACCTACTATTTGTAATAGTAGAAGAAGAAATAGAAGTGTTTTTGGATGTAGGCATGTAGCCCAAACGTTTTGGGTGAACCACGTTAAATCTTTGGTGTCCTACTTTGCTTTAGTTTTTATCCCTCCATATTTTATCGTCTCTTCCGCTGCACCAGGAAGAGAATGAACCGGCACTCTCCATCCATACATGTGGCTTCTTGCAGGAACTTTCAAGCGTCAAATTTTCTTCTTGCTTTTATTGCTCTAGGCAACTAGTATTACCCATCTCCTCCCTTCACTCCTTCAGAGTTAACCATAAACATTCCATTGGCTTTAAAGTGCCACATAATAGTGTCACCTGGCCATAGTTGACAAAGGAGATAAACAAAATCAATTTTGCATCAATGGGCCAAAGGAGGTTAGGGATCATCCCTCCTCTCCTACCTGAATCTCTATTGATTAAATTTCTCACCATCAAGTTTGGATCATTCTCCACTCTGGGTGCTTTTACTTTGAATGTATAAGGTCGTGGAGTCCACCATGACTTCCATGCTTTAATGGAACAACCATCACCTACCGCCCAATGCAGCCTACTCTTCAAGACCAAAGATAGCCAATGCAAAATATGCTAAATATACCGGGCCTGCGATCCATTTCAGCTTTGAAGATAGTACTGTTGGGAAAATATCTAGTCTCGAGGATGTGACTACAAAGTTACAATGGCTCAGTAGTTAATCACCTAAATTGTTTTGCCAGGAGAGCCTTCATTGAGTGCCTTGAGATCTCTAAAGCGCAATCCACTATCCCCCTTGGCAAGAAAAAGGGTGTTCAAGCTCCTCCAAAGGCTCCAATGGATCTATCTCCAACCCCCTGTATGACCTCACCAAAATTATCTAATACGACCTTGGATGTCTTCATAAAAGCAATTTGGAAGTTTGAAAATGCTCAAAATATAGTTAGGAATGGGTTTGGCTACAATCTTAAGTAACCCCTCCTTGCCTAACCATGAATGAAACTTCTCCATCCACCCTTTTAGGTTCCTGCATATTTTATCATTAATCGGAAGAAATGGTTATTTCAATGTCTTCCCAATGTAGGTTTTGAAGCTCAGATATTTCTTGTGCCATTGCACTTGTTGAACACCAATAAAAAGTACAATCTCCTTGCAGATTTCCTAACGTCTTTAGCCAATAGCGCATCAGTTTTTGACATGTTAATGTGTTGCCTCAATGCAGTCTCATACCAAAAATGCAAGCACCTCCGATGTAGTACCACATCAGAAAAAATTTGTGTTCACTCTCATCTTATTAATTGGAGACATCTGCACTCCACTTAGTAAAGCATAGAAAGCAACTTCAAAAGGTTGCATACTAATTCTGAAAATTATTTTTAAAACAAAATGTTACTTTATCATTTTATATTATTTTATTTGTTATTAAAAAATTGCCTTTAGCACTTTAGCTAAGGTAACACTTAACAATAAACTATGCCCTTGTTTCTAACTCAAATATTCCTCATAGGCCAGATATAGCATAATTGATTGTTAGATAATTATGGGTGCGCTGAGTTTGTATCT